AAGATTTCCGCCTCCAACTTCTGCGAGATCTCGCTTCGTGCAGATGGGCCTTCGTTTGTCTTGGCATCTACGTCTACATTGAGTAGGAAACGGAAAAGTTATTACGGGAATTTCGTCCGTTCAGTAGAGGGAGATATTGATTCATACGAGAAGGCTTTATGATTTCGCACAATGTTGGACTTCGTTGCCCCGTGCGGTATCAAATATCAACGGAATCCCTCACCGTCTTTGCTTAGACTACTCGCGGATAGTTTGCTTCCGTTCGAGAAAGGTTTGCCAGCGAGGTTGATCACCTGGGGTACAGGCCCGAGGTTGGCTTCGTTGAACTTTGAGGTGAGGTCTTTGATAGATGTTCTCTTGCCGTCCTCGTGTTGGCCGTTGTTGAGACCACTGTGGCCGTTATGACCGTTCAGGTGAGCCACCGCGCTGGTAGACCCCACAAGGGAATCGCCATTCTCTTCCGCGATAGTCTCCGTGTGTCCAGGCGGAGAACCTGTGAATCCAGAGCACTCGAGTTCACATTTAGAGATTCGACACAAAATCCTCAGTTGTACGCCTTGGAAGTCAATCTAGAGTTTGGCACACATCGATAAGCTGTAGTTGCGGTTGTGGCTGTCGTTGTGACTGACCAATATGTGATGGAGGTCTTCTAGCGGGAGGTCTCGCCCTATCAGCCGTGGGATGTTTGAGTCTGCCCTCGGAACTCTCTATGCTGTCGAGTGTGATTGCCTCGTCCGACGAAGTTCCGGCTCCGTTTCCGGACGCTTGGGGCGTCGTGCTCACGGACGACGACGTCAGAGCTGAATCTGAGGAGTCATCGGTGATTAGCTTTCCGAAGAATCGACGCCACAGATTGCAACGCATTTTCACTGAACATTTGAACGCGGCTGGAACGGCCGCAAGTGACTGCAACAGTCTCCCGCTGACTACCTGCGGATTCGTCGATACGTTTCAACCCGCCAATCTTCAGGCACTGGAGACCGGCGAGCCAACGACGCGACGTCATCTATGCCAAATTAGGTAGCACCAAGGACATACTATAGGCTTCAGTAATCCCTGATCGCTGAAGCTCAAACTTCACTGCCGAGAGCTTCCCAGGTGGGGCGACTGTGCACTGGATTGCTCAAGCAAAACGCTACAAGGAACGCTTAGTATCGAGAGGATCTTAAGTGTTCGAGCAGGCTCTCAAAGAACAATCAGAGCCGCACCTACTGCTTCCACGGCCAGTAGCGCTGACCAGACTGCGGAAAGGGCTACGAATCGACGACGGATGTGAGTCACCCGCGTTCCAAGCTCGACGTTTACGTAACACACGAATCGTTGGCAGCTCGACCCTCCCTAAAAGGCACGGTCATTCTGACCGTAAAATCTCGCCGCCGGAACCCCGGCCGTTCCCAGCTGGCTGCGGAACTCAGTCCGTGGCTCGGGCAATCGCGGGAAAAATTGGGACAAACATCCTACTGTTGGATAAGCGAGTCGTAGTCTTACCATGGTGTCCCCCATTGGCGTGAGGGTTGTTGAGATTTGCCCTTTCGGCCGCTTGTGCCGCAATGAGCGACACGGGAAGGGCTCCGTTCTGTCTGCGAATCTGCGAAGTCAGGAGAGGCCTTCCTCCGATACCTGCAGCATTCATCATAGACATGCCTTCCTGCGGCCCGAAGGGACTAACCTTAGACACCGGTTTGTCTGAAGCTTGGTCGCCTGTGGAAGAAGAACAATCGAGCTCGAATCAATTTTCGGCGTTCTCATAGTCTGAACGGTAATCATTCTAACATCGACAGCATGAATCCGTCGATTCGGGAAGGCCGACTTCGGAATCGTGATCAACGCACTCAGGCAGTGAATGAATATGCGTATGCAAGCTCCGTATATCGTCGTATATCGGGAATCTCTTTCTCTAGAAGAGTATCTTACCCTTGACTGCTGCGGTCGGTGCCGTGCTATCCGTAGGCAAAGGAGGAAGAGGTTGATTCTGGGGATTGAAACCCATCATCGATGAAGCTGGTTTGTCGCGAGTCAAATCCGGCTTCAGAGCCTTGACCGGTTTATCCGGCCGATCCGGCTTTCCGGGTTGGGGCGACGAATGTCCCGACATCACAAGGTCTGGTTCCGAACGGATCAGCTGGACGAAGTTATCAGGGAACACCCCGACCTTTCCATTGAGCTCGCCTTTCCACCAACCCTCGTCTTCAACTTCTTTCGTAAGTATAACAATCGTATCTCCCTGTTTGATGCTCAGCTCGTCCCCGTTCTGAGCATCGTACGGATACAGAGCCTGGAAAAAGTGTTCGATGAGATTTCAGCGTTCCATAGGACCAGCGGTAGATTCCTGACGGGGGAAATCGGCTCGAATGGAAAATCGTAAGAATTCTCATCCGTGGGAAGAACAAATTAACAATGACTACGGGAGCGATTGAGCCGGGAGCCTCAATACCGCAGGGGAGAGCCCCCTCCCCCTCCCCGTCCCGGAACCCGTCAAGCGAGCAGAGCTACGTTCCCTGACTATCGAGGAATAATCGTAGATAGGATTCATTAATGCTGGATGCTGATTATCGGCACTGGAGCCGCGGGTCGTACCTTCGCAAGTTCGCGTACTGGCTTGGGTGGCAGTTTCGGAGCATCGGGATCGCTCTTGGAGCTTTTTGGCGAGACCTTGCCGATAGCTTTCTTCTCGTCTTTCGCTCCGAAAGCTTTTGACTTCAGTCCGGCCAGTCCTCCATTCGCTGCAATAGAAAAGTCGATATTAAACTTTATTGCTTGACGGACGAGTCGTAGATCCGGTCATAAAGTCCGCGAGGCAATCCGTGAACGACGCAGTGAAATTATTCGAATCATATTAGTGAGCGCTACGTTCTCGAGTTTTCGGAGAAACAATGAACCATGACGATTGACGAGTGCCCAGAGTACACATTATGCCAATAACAAGGGAAATAGATTTACGCCGACGATCGAGAGAGCTCGCCGGCCAGCGAGCCAGCCTGGAGCTAGTGAGCTCGCCGGGCTGCGACGTATCCCTCGGCGAATCTCGCCGGGAAACGCTCGCATATGGCTCCGAGGGATCCATTATCGACATTCCAGGCGCGTATCTCTGCGCTCTCCCGGTATCGCCTCCTCCGGCTCTCGTCCCGCCAAGTCAGACGCATCTCCTTGATAGAAGTAGCGTTGATAGTTTCGGAAACGTTGGATTAAGTTGGCTGGCAATGAAGCCAGTCTTCTAAATGATGTTCACGGCGGTGCGCTGCTCAATCGGTGGCACTTGAACCCACCGACGGCAACGACACCGTCGACGACGACGACGACGACAACAACAACAACACCGATCAGGATGGAACATATCAGCCGGCATGCCGAGGCTTGATAGATTTCTGCATAGACGCGCCAGAATCTGCCTCGCCTATTGATTGGCATTGCATTCCTTCACGCTATAAAGTGGCGTCTATTCACCGGAGCCGATACAAGCGCGGTGCCACCATCGCCGCCACCATCGACGTGCGTCGTCCTCCTTTTTCCAGACATCGTTCGCAACAGCGAACTGGACCATCTCGGAGGGGCTTCGGCAGCCTCACCAACGAGGCTCAATACGAAACGAACACAGTGAGCATATAGTAGCACTGCTTGCCACATCAGAAGTTCCCGTCGAAAGCAGCCCTTAAGCCATACATATTTACTCGTACATACACACAATGAGGCATTGCTATGAATGACATCTGTGCACAGAGCCTCCTACGTCGTACATACGCTTCTCGAAGATAAGCGAGAAGATAGGTATGACCGTCTGCCTGACGGTCGGCCGGCAGAAAGTGACTCCACGCGCGCGAACCCGCCGACAGTCAGGCTGGCTGACTACTCTGACAGGAAAGCAAGCTCGGGAGGGTGCCGAGCCCGCAGTTGAACTCGTGATGTTTGAATGAGGAACTGTCCTCAACGATAAGGACAGCGCCGAGACGAGGCAGATGATGAAGCAAGCCTTGAAGGTGTGCCTTTTGCGTCTTCGTCGTCTGTCTCATCGGGAGCCGACAGATAGATGAATTGGTTTCGAGCTAGTTCGTTGGTTGGTTCCTCGGTCGGTCGGTCGGTCGGTCGGCAAATGGGCGAATGAGGGGGAGGTGGGTGGGGTGTCGGCGCAGTCTCGGATAGGAGTGGCAGACTTGGCGCTCGTTGTGCCCACCGAGGAAGAACGAGAGTCCTATCGGACAAACGTCGTGTTCAGACTTGAGTGAGGAACATGCGACGATCAGATGCCCACCGAGCAGCCCAGCGACGGACGGGGAGACCGTGTCCATGCGTTCTGAACGGAGAAGTCGCAATTTACTCCTCTAGGTAGACGATTTCAGCACATCTTCTTCGTGTCGACCGAGACGTTGGAATCGTCTCACTCAGATCTCGATGATATACCGATCCAGAGCCGCGACCGCAATTCGAGGGCGTATGTAGGCTGCACTATGATTCGGAATCATCAGTGATTGGCTTCCAAGAATCGGCGAGCAGTTCGTGCACGAGGCAGCCGCACGAGGGAAAGCGACGTGAGGGCCAGGGCTCCCGGGAGAGGAGCAGAAAAAGTATTGCTGCCGGAGAGCAAATACAGCTTCCTGCAACTTCCTATTTCGTCATCATTCGCACTATTATTTCCATAACGCGTTTCCGGGGCCCGCTCGAGGCAACAGGCACAGCGGACTCAGTGGACATGAGTTTGCCGTGGTGGAACTCTTCCCATCATCATCATCACGGTATCATCATCCTCGGAGGGAGTCCTTCGTTCCCCTTCCGCTCGCTGTCGCTCTGCCGCATCACCGAAGTCCACCGAGAGTTACGCGAACTATTATTGTTATTATCAACTGTGCGGACTGCGACGGAATCGTTCGCAATCCGGGTGATCCTAGCGGGTTCCCTCCACAACCTTGCGTCGCCGTCGATGAACTCGGCGACGGAATCGAAGCCCCGGGAGGGTTCTGCGCTCTTTTCGTTTTTGTTCTCAAATATTCACACCAATGGACCGTCACTGGACCAGCTAGGGGCGTAGGGCACAGCGCCCGGGTCGTGTTGAATATCCGCGCGGAGAATTGCGTGCGAATCGACGTTGGTGGAGGTGGGGGCCTACTCCGTACCCGGTTGGGGCAGGCTCCGTCGGAGTTGCAAATGATGTGATCGACCGAGTGTCGCCGGAATCGGCTCGTCGGTCGATATCTATCTATCCGACCATCTATCTATCAATCTAATCGACGTCAACGTTTCCGTCGGAGTGCTCCGCCTTCGTCCCGACTCCCCATCCTCTCTCATCGTTTCCGCCGCTGCTTCTCCCACGGACAGCAACAACAACAATGCGGTGACAGTGCGACGTGGGTGGCGGCGGCAACAACTGTGAACGGAAATGAAGATTCGAAACGTTGGCAATTCGCCGATTCTGTGGAGGGAACTGCCTCGCAGCGCTGAGATGTCGGGGCCAGAGGACATTTTGAAAGTTGTCGCCCTCCGTCGCGAAAAACCTCGGCAGCCGTTCCGGTTTCCGCTGTCCTCTCTGGGACCAACTTCTGAATTGACCAGCTGACGGCAGAGGAAGACATTCGAACAGGATGAAAAGAGGGAGCCGCGATTCGTACGATGATGGATGTCGGCTTGTATATCGTCGTTTCTTCCCCCCCCCCTCACTGCCTCAGAGGAACCATCCTCCGCGAAACACCGCAAAGTCAGAGAATGTGTGAAACAGAGGTCACCTCAAGCTGCAGAACGAGGATCTCCTCTCCTAGTGGAGAGTTCTCTCGTCTCGTTTCGCGACCGTATTCGAGCTCGCGGCGCTCATCGTATCCTACGGAGCTCCCTCGAGACTTCGACATGACGGAGCGGTAGCGGCGGGGCTGGTCGGAGCCTCATTAGACTGAAAACAAGTGAAATCGAGGGATTGCGGGACTTCACGCCTCTAAGAGGAAATTCGAAGAAAAAGCAACTGTGTACTTGGCTGACAAGCCTCATGGTACTTTGTTATTTTCTTTCAAGAGTCATATGAATGTATATGAAGGAACCTCCGACGGATCCTTGACAAAAAGAGAGCGAGATTGGATTTGGCCATCGAAGGCATTTCAATTGCCTCCCACTCGGGAGGTAAGGCTTCTTCTTCATTCGGCCCAGCTGGCTGCCTTCAACGGGGCCCGCAGCTCAACAGTCGGCGAAATTGGCGTCCCGGAACCCGCAAACGTCTCGTAGCTGCGAGGCGGAGCCATGGGACCGAGTACACTCGTGCTATGCGTTCCACCGTTCGTCGCTGATACGTCCGGATTCCTGCGCGCGGGAGCCGACGTTTTGGCGAGCATACCGTTGAATGACAGCGGGATTGAGTTGAGGACGACGAGTAAACGCAAGCACCGTCCTGGGGCGTCGACGAGAAAACGTCGTCGCCACGTCAAAAAGCTGTTCTCCGCTATCTGATGTCGACAGAGCAGGTCCGCCAGGGAGCAGCAGCCAAGGAGTCTCGCCGAGTCGACGACCGATATGAACTCACAGGAACTCCTGAACGCTGTCTGAGCGTCGGGGGACCGCTTCCCTTCAACGCTACGACCGCCAACACCATTGCCAGCGCCCTTCCTCGTGGTCCCGTTTCCCCTCGAGGGAAAAACCATAGCAACCACCACCACCGTCGCGTCAAGAAGACAGAACACAAAGGATTGACGAATGATGATCCAAGTGAGGACGAGAACGCGTGAGAGACCCGGTACAGGAAAAAGAAGAAGCGGCGGCAGGAAATTGGCAGAGTGGGAGTGAGAGAGAACCTGCAGCAGGCTAGCATCTCCCTCACGAGCTCAGTCAGGCAGTCAGGCGGTCAGTCAGTCAGTCAGTCGGACTGGGGGGTCGATAGACATCCAGCGGATCCTGACATTAGACGCCAACGCCGGCCAACGTCGTGTCGACGCCGACGTAATGACTGAACAGGAAGTAGGGACTCGATTCAGCGGCACAGTCGTCCACGCTCGGAAATTCGAGCGGCTCAGCAGCAAGGAGATGCTATTCCTTGTGCTATCTCAGTCGGTCAGAATACTTTTATTGCCGATATTTTCACCGATTCGTCCCGGCTGGTGAGAGGCTTGCAGCGCTCGATCGAATGCCCCTCGGGTCCATCTATTTGATGTTTATACATTCGTCAGGAGGAAAAACTGTACGCGAATAGTTGCGTTCGGAAACGCGGAAAATCTCTCCCTCGTACCTCGAGCCGTTCGTGAAGCTGCTCGACGTCGTACAGGTTAGTCCCCTGAGGATTTTCCGGAGAGTCTCAACGCGGGAGCGAGCAAGCGGGAAAAACCGTAAACGTAGTATTGAGGAAAGGGCGATCTTGCCCCAAAGCGGGGTAATGCAAAGCTCCAATGAGCGCCATGGTGTTGCTCCCAGCCACCTCACGGTCATCTTGAGCCTGGTGTATGTATATATGTGTATGTATGTATGTGTGCGTAGATTGATTGATAGATGAATGGATCAATTATCGATCGTATTGAGTAAACGAGCAGCAGTTCGGGCGAGCGAGCGAATGAAGGAACGATCAAGGGAGCGTTTCCGACGACGAGCTACTAACTCGAGTGGAAATGTGCCAGCATTAATAAGATTCACAATCATTTAATACTTGTGGCCATCGTATACATTCTTGCACGGATGCCTGCCCGGCTAGATGCTCGGACGCATGCATGCATGAATACTGGGCATCGGCCGCGTACACACATGAGGGTTTGTTGACGGTGGAGAAGGCGGATTGCGAGCGATCGTACGTTTACAACGCCGCTTCTGATGAAACATAGCGCGCCTTCGAAAAACGTTATTTCTCCTGTTAAGTATACCATTTCGCCCGACAGCCGGGATAGTCCCGTAAGGATATCGTCAGCAGTTGCGAGCGAGGGATTGGAAATTCCAGCTGGATTAACCGGAAGGATTCGAAATTCTCGATGGCGAGACTTAGAATCAGATGTTCATGGAACAGAATACGCCGCCGCCTGACGTGTTAGCAACGATGGTTAGTGAAAGGGCGATTATAACGGAACCCACCACCAAGTCAAACAAGCGAGAAGCTCGATTGACGTAATACGTACTGTATGAGAAACCCAATCCAGCTTTGCGGTTTTGCGGGGGAGATGCTTCGTCGGTGCTCATGGTCGGGTCCGTGACCAAGTTCTTAGCTGTGAGGATGAAAAGCACTTTTTGAGAGAATCCCGTTGGCGATCAACTAAGCTTCCAGCAACAACAACACGTCACGGCACCACAGATCACGGTGGGGTGGGTTCGACCGATTATTTCCTCGCCGGCCAATCCTTTAGGGCGAAACAATAAGACCAAGAGGCTTGTCGGCGGAGTCGCGTACACTAGAGCCGGTCCGCTCGAACGAGAATACTTTCACTATCAGGCTACGTCCGATTTCACTGGCGGAGGGAATCTCACATTCGCTTTTCTGGCAGGTATCGAGAGTCAGCTAAACTCGCCTGCCAGACTGTTCGGCTCGACGGCAGCTGACTGAGTTGCTGAACGCAATGGAATCGCCATGAATCGTGAGCGTCCAAGTGTGAGAAAGAGTTCACCACTTTGTCCGAAAAGATTCGCGGCGCGACCAACAGATTCGAGGGCATTAATCCATCTCTCTGGCATTCGCTTTTGCAGCCTTTGATAGCATCGGGTCGCCGCGGAATCCCCAGATAAACTGTTGTCTCTCAACCAGCTCATGTGAATACCCCAAAATCCCAGTATTCCCAGCCAATGCCGCCACGATAGCGCTAGGAATAAATGTTCATTGTGGGGAGATATTCTGATTATCGTGAACGCTCCATGGATGAAATGAAATTGAAGGTTACTCCAGCTCGGTCCCGAAAACTCGAAAATTCCGGTCCCGAAAAATATGTATCGACGAAGCTCTTCAAAAGAAGATTCGAGGAGTCGTTTCCGATTTCTAGACTAGAGAGGGAACGTCTAATAGAAGTTCGTTCGCCGATTCTCCCTGAAGTTCCGCCCGAGTAAATCACCGTGTTGCGTAAACTCATCCACATCTGTACGGTGGGAAGATGTCGCCCGCTGGCTGATCCAGCGTACCACCCACGCAAAAAATTTACAAGAAAGTATTTATAAATACACTTTCGCCATCGGCTCGTTTTCTCTCAAGGTCGAAACTTGCCGGAAGCCTTGATGGCTCTCTGCTTCATTCCGGAAGAACGAGAACTACAGAGAGAGCGCGTAAACAGGAAAGCTCGAAAATACCGTCGGGCGGTTGGCCCTTCTCGCTCACATGGGGAAGAAACGGCTTTAGTTTTCTCTCTTGAAGCTTCGGTGGAGGACATACGGCTAGCGAGACTACAAGCAAAGGAACCATTCCCGGATCCTTCTCGCGTCATTCGTTTCTGGCAGGCAGATTCCTACTCAAATCGAATTCCTTCTATCAGCATCATGGCATTCTGAGCCATTCGACGCTCCGCCGCGCCGTGTCGGATTCGTTGTGAGCAAATGATTGTGTGACGGCAGCGTAAGATTCTCGATGGATTTCATTCCAAATTATAGCCATCACGTCTCTTTTGTTGAGCTCTCGCCGATCCCGTACCGGCTTGTACCGGTAAGAGCCAGGGCGCTTCTGCTCACGGAATCTTAGAGAATGAGGGTGACTTTCGCCCCTGCGTGACTTTTCGTGCGAGGGATTTTCAGGCTAGGTAAGCTCGTCGAGGGTTTTTTGAGCCTTGAAATGGTATCCAGAGCCTCCGTAGGTTATTCTCGTGAAAGCCTCATCTCCTTCGTCGCTTTCGGAGTCTTGTTTCCGCAGTGCTGACTTCACAGCGGCTCAATTTCCCCCGCGAAGGCTGCAGCGGGGGGGAATTCCGAGCGAAGTGAGAGAATTCCTCTCTGATTCGCTCCCCGCCTGCCGATCCTGCATGCGGGCCTGAGTGTGTGAACTATCCATTCACCCTCTCCGTGGCGGCGGCTGCGGCGACGACGACCCGGGAATGAGTTCTTTTCACGCGGAAACTAAACTATTGAATTCGTTTGCTGCCGATTTCAATATCGTCCGTCCGCTCGACGCTGCCGTGGAATCCTGCCCCGCTCACCATGCACGGCTCGCTCGGCTAGGCGCGATCACCTGACTGACTGTCGGAGCGGAGGACTGACTTTTGCCTCCGTCCGGAACGTAGGACTCCTGCGATGGTACTAAACAGCAAATGATCTGTTTCGATCTAATGGGGGCAGAGCTCCCGTTCGCAGTCGACCGTGGACAGTTCGGCCTGTTCTCGGTGTTCGGAAGAATCCCGTGAGGAGCGAAAGGCACAGGGAGGCTCAAAGAAAGGAAACCTCTCGGACAAGTCCTCCCTCATCCTGACTTGTCGTCCCCGCCTCGACCACCTCGACGAACGCGGTGTAGATCTTCACATTGGTGATGGATCTTTATTTTTTTCAAAAAAAACGATGGGTCGTAGATTCGTCTGAGTCTATTCTGATAATGTAGACCAGGTTCACGGCAAGGCACACGACGAAATCCGAACGAGGGAGAAGAATCAGCAGAAGCGGGAAAAAGATCGAGCGAACGAAAAAGGTTCTCAACCCTGTGACACCGATGTTGCCGATGACGCGCTGCTGACCCACAGGAGAAACCAGTTTCTCCAGCTCCAGAAATCGCTCCGGGGTACACTGACTGAACCGAACTGCACCGAAATGTCGGCGATGTGCCTTCGGCTCTTACTGCCGCCGGCTGCCGAAATCAATCCGAACTCAACCGGCGACGCTGTATGTATGTAACAATCCATCCTACGAGACGGCTTGCTTCTCTCACATTACGAGTTCGATGTTTTCCTCTTTCGTCTTGGCCGAAGAGCGGAGACAAAATGACATCGACCTCTGTCCGACAGACTCGATGTTTGCGCCAGAAT